GTATTTGATAGCTTGATCACTTTTGATGTTCGTATTTTCTTTACGATTTTGCATAATTTTTTTCTTATCAAAACCTCCTGCTCACATGATTTGACGATTAGACAGGAAGCTAGCCATTTATAAGGAATAGAAAATATTTTTTCATTGTTTTATTTAAAAAACTAGGATGCTCTTTGATCTGTAAAGGGATGAGCTAATTGTGTACTTTAAATACCATGATCATAAGTCTTCTCTTTAAAAATAAAGCAATATTAGCTTATCTGTAGGATTTTTAATAGAATTTAAAACTAAAAAAAAAATTAATTCTTCTTTTCTGATTCTCAGTATGGCCATTAGGACATACAGATCAAAATCATGGTGAGATGCCATGCCAGCTATAAGAAGTAAGACAGTGAGGGAGTCAGTATATGATGAGAACTAGCAGAATGTGGAGAATTCCAGCCTGTGGGCATCTCTGGTGACGATGTAAAATAGTAATTCATTAAACGACAATTTCTTGATAGGATTGAAACAAAGTAACTAGTAATCCTATTTCTGGATATACACACAGATGACGTGGACACCAGCGGAGACCTGGACAGACACATTACACTGACTGATACCCATAGCAATAACATTCCCCAAAATGGAAACAGACCAACTCTGCTGGGGAGTCTTGTGTCAACTTGGCACAAGCTAGAGTTATCAGAAAGGAGGATAAGGAAAGGAGGTTAAGAGATGCTTCCTTGGGATCCAGCTGGAGGGCATTTTCTCAGTTAGTGATTGATGAGGGAGAGCCCCAGCCCTTTGTGGGTGGTGTCATCCCCGGGCTGGTGGTCCTGAGTTCTATAAGACAGTAGGCTGAGCAAGCCATGGAGCAAGCCAGTAAGCAACAGTCCTCCATGGCCTCTCCGTCAGCTCCTGCCCCCATGTCCTCCAACCCTGCTTGAGTTGCTGTCCTGACTCCCTTCAGTGATGGATATTATATAGAAGTAGAGGCCAAATTAACCCTTCCCTCCCTAACTTGCTTTTGGTCATGGTGCTTCGTTGCAGCAATAGAAACCCTACGATAGCAATAAATAAAATAGGGTCCATGCATCTAAATACTGTTATTTAAAAATCTTTAAAAATCTGTGAATTTCAGCCGGGCAGTGGTGGCGCACGCCTTGAATCCCAGCACTCAGGAGGCATAGGCAGCCAGATCTCTGTGAGTTCGAGGCCAGGCTGGACCGACAGCCTCCCAAACAATACAGAGAAACCCTGTCTCGTAAAACAACAAAAAAAATCTGTGAATTTCTAACACATACTATACCAGGTATGAAATTTGATGACACCATTTTAAGTGAAACAAGATGGATACCAAAGAACAAGTTCTGTATAACTCTATTTACATGAGGTCCACAGAGGAATCAGCCTCATGGGGACAGACCGCAGTGTGGTGCTTGCCACGGTCTGGGAGCGGGAGGAAAAAGCAGAGTTATTTAATGGCTATTAATTTCTATCTTGTGGCATGTAAAGATCTGAGAGAGGCAAGCTGCATGGTCATGTAATGTGCTACATGGCACTGAATAATAGTATGCTTAAAAATAGTAAAAGTCATAAAACTTTGTTATGAATACTTTACCACAATATGACATTTTTGTTTTGAAAAGTACATATGGGCTGGGTGGTAGTGTCACACGCCTTTAATCCCAGCACTGGGGAGGCAGAGGCATGGGAGTCTCTGTGAGCTCCAGGACAGCCTGGTCTACAGAAAAAGTGGCAGGACAGCCTCCAAAGTTACAGACAGATCCTATCTCAAAAAAAAGTGTATGTTCTCAGTAGAGACTATGTTTTAAAAATGTGTGTTCACATTGTTTTGATGTCATTTTGTTCATTTAGCCCAGCAAATGAATTCACTTTCTGATTTAGGATTTAACAAAATCCCCATATTCTCTTCTGAGCCTAAAAGTAAGAGTGGATATTTGGGACCTAATAAAACCCAAAGCCTATCCAATCTCTTTGCTAGAGAAACAATTTTAAAACTTCCTATTGAGTCAATCTCTCTGAAGACAACTTAGGAAACCTGACACCAAACCTAGAAATACCTCCACCAAGGGTAAATAAATATGCCAATCTTCATGTCTGTGGAAAACTAAGAGATGCTGTTGATTTCTGCTACTCAGAGAAGTAACCTTTTTGCCTAAAGATGCTAACTTATAAACAGCTTTTGTACATACACTCCTAAAGTATGTTGGTTTATAAATAGTTCTCATTTATGTATGTAACCTACACTTTCCTAAAGCATGTGTGTGACTGGTATTAACCACAGAACTCAAACAACAAAACACTGTGTCTAGTTTATTTACTTCTCTTAACCACGTTGGGTTCCTCTCTCCACCTCTAACCCCTATTTCATGCCCAATGTTTGTTTTCCTTCTTGCTTTGGTTTTGTTTATTAAAATACAATAATATTAAGTTGGCTTAAAAATAATTTCATAATAAATTATACCACTCCAACCATATTTAAACCATGTTTAATTTAAATATTCAGAAATGTCTAAGATATTTTAAAATGACCACATGTCCCAGGTTGTTTTGTAATTACGTTGGCAACAGTTTTAAACTGCTGTTGTTACTCAAACAAACTAATTTTCACTAATGCTGACTATTCTTTACATTCACCATATAAAATAAACTTAAGGGAATTTTTATTTTTGTTTGTATCATCCCCTTAAAATGTAAACAACTATAAACCAGAAATTTTGTATCTTCTACTATGTACTAGTTCCAAAGAAAAACACAATTTAAAAATAAGCTCATAAATTAAAGGGCAGTAAACATGTGACATGTGGCCAGTGCCTTATTGCTTCTTGGGAGTGTAACCATGCCATGAGGAGGACTGCTATACATTCACACACACACACACACACACACACACACACACACAAGAACACATGAATATACACACCTTGATTTTTCTTACTTTGAATGTTGTACATTTATATTAAAAAATTCATTCTTGACTTTTGAAAATATTATGAATTTTCAGTTGACTCAGAAAGTCTGCTTATTTTCCTTGATTTTTGCTTTCATGTTGACAGTATATTCAGATTATGCCAAAATCTAGTTTCAAGTAAACCAAAAGTACCAATCATTTTATATTTGTCTGAATGATACTATTTACAACTTTTCTTCTAGTATTTTCACTGTGATATCGTATACATTCATTTCCTGTTTCCTGGTAACCAGGAAAGAGAAAGCAGCATTTCCAAAGACCGTCTATCCTACAAATACTCATGTAGGCACAAGGTTATCAGAGCCATCCCAGACAAATATCTCTTTAGTCTACTGGTACTCTCAGAGAAAGGTCCTCTTTTTGGTCTTCAAAAGTCATTCTAGATATCCCTTGGAGCAAACACCTGCTTCACACTGCTACGTCCACATCTTAATCACTGTTCTATTGCTGTGATAAGACTCCATGACCAAGGCAACTTATAGAAGGACAAGATTGGGAGTTTACAGTTCTAGAATGTGAGACCATGGCCATTATGTGGTGGGGAGTATGACAGCAGGCAGGCGTGGCCCTGGAGTCTTAGCTGAGAACCCACATCTGATTCGCAAATAAGAGGCAGAGGGAGCTACTGGGGATGGCATGGGCTTTAGAAACCATGAAGCCCACACCAATGACGTGTCTTCCCAGCAATCTGTATTTATCCTAAATCTTAAACCCTTCCACCAACTGAGAATCAAGCATTCAAATATGTGGTCCTATGGGGGGGTGTCCTTTTCACTCACACCATATCCCACCAGTTATTGTGGGGAAAGTCCTTCCTAATAACTGCACTGCTCCAAACTTTTTATGCTGTTAGTAACTTGTGCCCTGTCCCATGGCTATCCCTTCACCTAGCCTCTTAATTCTCTCTTTGTGTCAGATAGTTTTAATTCAACACACGACAGAGTCATCTGAAACATGGGAACCTCCATTGAGAAAATGCCTCCTGTAGGTCATTTTCTTAATGAGTGACTTATGGGGAGGGTCAAATTTGGGTGGTGCCATGCCTGGGCTAGTGGTCCAAGGTTCTATAATAAGGCAGGCTGAGCAAGCCCTGGTAAGCAGCACCCATTCATGGTCTCTACATCCACTCCTGCCTCCAGGTTCCTGACCCGTGTTGAGTTCCTGTCCAGACTTTCTTTCATGATGAACAGTTATTTGGAAGAGCAAGTCAAATAAACCCTTTCCTTCCCAAATTGCTTTGGTCATGATGTTTCATCACAGTTATAGGAACTCTAACTAGGGCTGAAATTGGTAGCAGAAGTGGGGATATTGCTGTGACAGACCCTACCGTGTGTTGGGGTGGGGGAATTATAAGGGGACTTTGGAGCTCTGGAAAAACCCATTAAGTGATCAAAGCATGGTGAGCTTTGATTCATCTACCTAACAAATACCTAGTGCAAAGTAAATCTCCTGTGTAGGAATAGGCCTATATTAAATATGCTCAAAGATTGAATGTACTTCTCTCAATCTCTTCCTAAATTTTCTGGAATACATTCCAGAGTTTGGGAGACAGCAACGTTGAGAGCAATACAGATTGTGGAGGCCCTGACTTGTTACATTCCTGAAGGAAGGTCGAGAGTCTGATAATGAGTATCATAGCCATTTCAGAGTGTGTGGTTCTGGTTAGCTGGGGGTGAAGAATCAGCTGGGATTAACAGACTACCAGAACTGCTGAAGTGAAACCTTTGCTTTGCTGGGACCCTGGATACTGGTCAGCTGAAGCTGAGAGATCAGCTGTGAATAAGAGACCAGCATCATTGAGGGCAAAGCTGTGTCCTAGAGGTGGCTAAGATTGTACCTTACAGTGGCAGCCAAACTGCTTTTGAGGGCATAACGGGGTCAAGAAAGCAGCTGGAGTTTTGGAAATTCTGGCTCAGACTCAGATGGCCAGTCTGGAGGCTCTTAGGAAAGCCCAGGAGAAGCTACTTGCAAAGGTGCAGCCCAGTTGCAGCAAGACACCCCAACACTTTGAAGATGACAGTACCGTGGGATGACCACCAAGAACAGCAGCCACAGAGGAGTGGAACCAGATGTAGCCTAGAAGACAAGCTGTGTGTGCTGCCGAGGGAGAAGTCAGAGAAGTGACCCTAGCACTTTTGGGGAGCCCATGAGATCATAAGTGGATCCAAGACAATGGGTTATGCCCCCATTCGGAGTTTTGCTTTGTTCCAATTGTGACTGCGCCCTGGTTCTTTCTCCCTGAACAGAAGTGTTATAACTTATTTTGACAGGAGCCCACAATTGAGAGAATTGAACATTTAGAAAGATTTTGGAATTTTTACAAAGACTTTGGGTTTTTAAAAGAGATGGAATAGTTTAAGAGACTGTTTTTTTTAAGTGTTTGAATTTTTAGACTGTGGAACTTTTAAATTTTGCAGTGTTTATATTGTAATGTTGATATTCTTGTGGCATCTTGGGGATGAACAAGAAAGGAAAGGCTATGGCTTAACAGTGACATGTTTGTGTGTTAAGTTGGCAAGGGTTCACTGTGTATAGATTATTGTTAACATTTGTTTGAAAGTAGGAAAAATTAATTGCTTTGCAGGTCACTTGTACATGTTCCACGGTTCCTCTGATTATCCTAGCAGTGCTGAATATATTGATTGCAATATTCTCTACTGTCCACCTGGGCTTTATATAGAGACATTGTTACTTCACAAGTTCTTCTATAACTTTCATGGGATATTAGAAAGGATAAGTTATCAAATCATTTGAAATAATAGACCCAGGTATCACCAAAATAGAAAGGTTTCTATACATTCTAACAGGGTCTCTGGGGAAGGTCGTTTACCAATGCCTTTAAGCATGCATAAGAAATCATTCGTAGACCTACAGAGATCCAGCAGGAATAAGCCTTGTCAACTACTATATGGGAAGATGGTGAGGACCTAGTGTTGAGGGAGCCAGGGAAGAAGGAATGGCTTCCACAGAACTCCCCTAACCAGCAACATCCCCCCCAAAAAAAAGAAAAGAAAAGAAAGGAAGAAAAAAAAAGAAAAACGGGGTAGCCAGGGCAGTAAGTGTTGTAACCTTATTCTCTTTGATCCTTCCACAATCCATATGGTGACTTCCCTGTGACAAATTTGACCAAGGGAGTGTTTTTTGTCACTTCTATTAGTCAGCACCTAGAGTACAATAAAATAAAAGGAGTGAAAACAAAATAGGTAGAGACAGGTTCTTGAGAGGCAATCATAAACTCCCGAGTCTTTTGACCAACACCTATAACCTACTATTTATAACACCTTTATTTTATTAAAAAGTCTGTGTGTATGTGAGTGTGTGTGTGTGTGTGTGTAATGTGTTTTTAGGTATATGAAGAAAACTTAGTAAAGATTCAACAGAGCAAGGATATATATCAATTAATAATCATATGGCCTCTGGTGTGTGCAGACAGCCTAACTCAGCCCTTTGGAATGGGTACTGTTAAGATTCACATGTTCCACTCCAGGAAACAGAGACACAGAGGGCTCCTAAAACTTGTTCAGGGATGGAAGCAAGTAGAAGAGAATGGACTTGCCTCCTAATAGAGCAAACATCATCTGAATACACCAAGAGATGTGTTTGTTTCCCCTCTTTACTGGTAAATTGTGAATTTTAAACACTGCCTCCTCTGCTGCACTTCCCCCTTTCATTTACATTCCTCATGTGAATTCTATTAGAACATGAGACCAGAGACACTGACCTAAGGAAAAGGCTGCACAGAGCAAATGCCATGTGTATTCTCCCTAGGTGAGTAGCCAGTAGTGCTGATTTTCTGTTAGCAAATAGCAAAAGCTCTACTATATTGCAAATGTGGTGAAAAGCATGTTGCATAACAGCTTAGGTTATTGGGTAAGATAGTGTAGCTTTAGTATCTGACTTTCTGAGGTAATTCAAAGGAGATTCCAAACAACATGATACCTTCTTGGACAGTTGTGTCTACATCTGGATCTACATCTAGAAGCTCCTTGCAAAGTTTCTCACAGGATAACAAACATGTTGTTACTTACAGAGAAAGAAAATATCAGTAAACTATTCCCCAAAACAAAAAATAGTGAAATTTCCCTCATGTTTCTAAAACACAAAAGGAATTTCTCTTAAAGTGTATCAGTTTGTAGGTTTGAATTTAGCCCCCAAAGAAAGAATTACACATTATAGAAAGAAAATGATCTGTAAACTCATGATGGATTGGAAAACCAAAGTAAGTGGGGAAACCATAATAAGTATGGATGGCTTCATTTTCCTATAATATAAATTAACCCAAATGAATATAGTATGCTATTGTTTAGTCCAGTTTGGTCTTATTCCTTCCTTTAATTTTTTGTGGTGTGTTTTGTTTTCGCCTTTAATTTGTACTCTGGGGATCTTACCAGTGGGTGGTACTGGCTTTTATTCTGTGCAGTATTATTAGATATTATTAAATGTTTCATTATTTTCACATGGAGTAGTAAAAAAGATCCTTTGAAGTTTAACCACAGATTCGGCAGAACTGAAGATAACAATACATTTTTGCAGGAAACTCCTGCTGATATAAATTATATTTGGATCACAATCCATCTCAGACATTATGGAGAGTAACCACAATGAAACCAGGCTGGTTATACACTAAATCAATTGAGATAATTGCTAGGGAAGGTAACAAAATCATGGTGGAATTATAGATCTTTATGATTAATGCTACAAAACGCTCTACCTAATACTCTAACTAATACAGTTGTTCTGCCTGTTATGACTACTAAAAAAAGTCAATGCATTCCTAAATGCATCAAAAAAGAACTTTTACCAACATTGGATCAAATTTTAAATATCTACCTATTTTAGCTGAAACCATGTATTTTCTCCTGTTACAGAATGTTATTAAGTTACTTACTGAAAGCAATTGACAGTACAATCATAAGAAACCATCTCCCATAGGGTTCCTAGAAATGCACACAAGAAGTCAATTTCCAAAGTCACAGAAGCGCAATGCACAGAAGACATGACCAAGAGAAGACCCCACCTTGAATTAGCTCATGCTTCACAAGAATTGTACAAATACTAAAGAGATAAAATCATTGCATAAACAATCCAAGCATCAGTTCGATATGACATATTGACCTCAAGACAATTAAGACTCCAATGTAGATCCCTTGGGGATGAAAAAAATTAAAATTAAAAACAGAAATAAATGTGTGATTAAGGTTGGGAGTTACAATGATAGTGTTTGATTAGAGAGGGGAACAGAAATAAAAGTGCTGGTCTTAAGAAGTCCTCTTCTTTGTCGAATACCCAGGGATGTGGTTTCTAACCCATGGGTTCTGTTTGTGCACCCATCCGTAGATCCTTGGACCCCAAGGGTAATTGCAAAGACACAGGTATCGATTTGCTTTCTTTAAAGGAAGGATGATGTTCTGTCTTGCATTTAGCCAAAAAGAAAAGGGAAATTATTGTAAATGTATTCTATTCTGCTCTAACATTTTTTAATTAAGCCACTTTTCCTTTTATGGTTACAGTCCTCAGATTAATCAAGCCAGAAGCAGCTGCAGCAAAGAATGTAAGGGTTTCTTTATTCTACCATAGAAAAGCAAGTCTCCAAAAGTAGGGAGGTATGGAACATGCATTTGTATGGAAATGGCTTTGATAATTACTCCCAAGAATTGAACATTTCCTTCAACCATTTGCTGAGTTCATCTCAAAGTCTTATTTCTACCTTTAGTAATAATTTTGGTTACTCTTTGGCAAATGGCCCTCCTCAGATTCAAATAATTCTTCATCCCTATTTGACTATTATCATCTGTTTCTTCTGCTAAAGATAGACCATGTTTAATGACAATGTTATGTAAAACACCAGGCAGCAGGAATTTCTTGACTGCATTAGGAAGGTGACCATGCAGTGTTCACCAGATTTGCCTAGACATCAAAACCTAAAGTTTAAAACACCAAGGATTACCTACAATATCCATTCTCATTTAAAAGTATTGATTTTTTAAATTACTTTTTCAATGGCAGGAATAAAAAGAAATAGCTAACCTGAAAAACAAATTCTGAAGTCTGCAATGTGTTTGAAGAAAAATTAAAATTATAAACAGAACAGCATTTTGTAGCATTACTTAGGAGCCAAATTCTACCAGTTTATAAAAAGCCTTGCATTTCTGAGGCAGATTCCGTTAAAATGAATGAATCATGACACGATCCCAAGTACTTAGCTACGGCATCTGTTAGGTGGTGAATTGCATTGCACGCCCCATGCATAATGAAGGAGAGAATGGCTTTTAGTTCCTGGGGTGTTCCTCATGTGGAGATATGCAAATTCAGTCAACAAAACTCAGGCCCGACAGAAAAGCTACGATGCTGGAAGTTACCTGTAATGTATTGGTGGTGCTAGGTATGTCTTAAAACCTGAAGAAACTGATGAGGTCTCCGGGGAAACATATTTATAAGCTGCTCAGTATTGCAGACCATGGCAAAGTAATTGTGTAAGATTCTGTTGTCCCAGGGAAGAGTCGGTGTCGGGTGATACACAACTCCTATTACCTGGTTAGAACATTATTTTACTCTTCATAACGAGACATAGAGAAATCGCTTCATGGATTAGAATGCCAATAAGAAAGACAGCCCTGTGTACAAAGAGAGGTGAACTAGTACGCCAAACTCAGTGAGAGGTCAGAGAGTGGGAGGTGGAAGGGTGGGACAATGGTCAGTGCGCTGGCTGCTCTTCCAGAGGCCCCGGGTCCATTCCCAGCACCCATGTGGTAGCTGACAACAATTCATAATTGTAATCTCAGGGAAGCCAACACCCTTTTCCTGGGCTCTGTAGGCATCATGTGTACATGGTGTGTGGACCTGCATGTAGGCAAAACATCCACAAACACAAAGTAAAGATAAGTTTTAAGAAACGATTAAAAATATCCTTAGTATTATCTATATGAGCAAATAATGATTTCCTGGGTGTTTTAATGAGGTAACATCCTAGAGACTTGATGTTTGGACAGGAAGCAAGTCACCGCATTCTATCACTCAAGAAGCACCTTGAAATACACATTCGAGAAAGTGTATAGCATACACTGTGTGTGTGTGTGTGTGTGTGTGTGTATACATATATGTGTTTCT